GGTTCAGGTGGTGAAAATGGTTGCAGGTTCTGTTTCCCACTTGCTGGATCGAGGTACAAATCTGTCGTCTGCTCTGACATGGTGAGATCTTTCACTTGAGAAACAAAGTGCAATTTCTGAACCAAAAAGTTCTGAGCTAACCAGCAACAGAAGTGAGAGGAAATTTGAAGTTGTTTTCCAAGTGTGGAAAATCACATTTAGCTGTGCCAGCAAAGACCTGTGTGTAAGTGCTGTTCAAGCTTCCTAATTCATCTGACTGCATGGTTTTGAAGTGCAGCTCAGCTGTCAGAGGGAATGACAAGCCACTGGCAGTGGTCATCTTTCCAGCTGGCATAGTGCTCCCAGAAGAGTCTGTGCATCTGTCCTTGAGAGACAGACTTAAAAAATGCTTGAAGCTTTGACAAACTCAAATGCACAGAACACTGCCTTAAACATAATTTAAAATTACTCATCTGAATAAATAACTGGAGAAGTGGTTCTACATGTACTGCTCTGAGTGGATTTTTAGTAATGGGTCTGATAGGATCAATTGGAGGTGATGCATCCTCATAAGTAAGGAAGAGTGAATAGGATTTCACTCTGCAGGTGGGATCCAAAATTGAAAAGAGAGTATGACAGCGCATGTATTTGCTACTTGTTTCAGTAGCAACAGAAATATTAATAATGCATTCACCTTCCATAAAACATAGAACTTAAATTTCCTTTTGTGTGTGTTTGAAGGTGTTCAGGCATCAGCCTCTTGGCTGTTATTTTGAAAAAAGCAGTGATCTCTCAGGGACAGGGGTGGTGTGCATTTCTCTTGGAGGCTGTATTAACTTGCCAGAGCTAAAAGCTCAACTCTTATTTGCATATAGATTTCTATAGAGCGCAAGGACTTTGATCTTGACAAAACACGTATTTTGCAGAACAATATTATCTTGAGAGTGATTAAAACTTGCATAAACAAAGGTGATGTTTGTACTGGCAAACTTGTCTTGCTATTTCTCCCTCTCTCCCCACCCCTTGCTTCCCCCTCACCCATCCACTGCTGATGCCATTGCTGCAGCTACAAAGATCTCGGTTGCTTTCAGATGCTGTCACCTGCATCACAAAGCAGCCATGGAGCTGTATCATTTCTGAGCCTTCAGAAGTGTTAGCAGATGTTCTTGAAAGCTAAAGAAGGTGCAGCATGAGAGCTGCAAAAGCTAAGAGAGACTAAATGTAGATGGTAGGATAAAAGCCTGAATTTCTTTTTATCTCAAAGCTTCATAAAATTGAAAACTGTTTTTTATGCTCCAAAGCTATTTGAACTATGTATGGGTGGATTTGGAAGGAAGCTTGGTCTGCATGGTGTGAGCTGATAGAGCTGTGGATGTGTCACACTGCTGTGTAACTTCCGCTGATGGATTCTTGCTTAGCACTTGCTAAGGGGCAGAGTTGTGCTGAAAATCTCAACTAGGCAAGGTGTGATTTCAGAAGTCACTTCAAATTACATGAAGATACTGGTGAGCTTTAGGTTGCACATTCAGAAAGCCTCTTCCCCCTGGGTGCTGGAGCAGGTTAGCAGAGATGTGCCATCTTTGGCCTGGGAGGTTTCCAGGTCAGCCCCAAAGTAGCCTACAATTCCAAATAGCTCCTCTTGGAGGGGTAGGTGGGACTGGATGATCTTCAGAGAGAGATCCCTTCCAACTGCCTTTTCAACAACACTTCTCAGGAGAATGAGAAAAAGCTTGCCTCAGAGTGTCTGTTTTGTTGGGACACTTAAATAGTTAATATGTGAATTCAGTCACGTATCAAATAATGGGTCAAGGGTGTTTGCACTCTGTCATGGTGAAAGATCAGATGTTTTTTCATTAGGACTGGCTGTTCTGTAATGCAAAATGAATAACCTTCAGGAGTCCTGAAATTCCCTGGATTTCTGATGAGGTGGGCAGAGTTTAGGGTAATTATGGGAGTTCCTTACAGCCAGAATAGCAAAGCAGCCCAGATAACATGAAACATTTTGAAGGTAAGACTGACACATGGGTCTTATGTTCAACTGTATAGACTTCCCCAAGTGATTTACTAATTAACAATAGCGGTAAGAAAAATTGGACATACTGCACCATAAAACATGGGAGGGGTTTGATGTAATGCTGCTTTTTCTTTTCATTAGTCACTTTTAAAAGTATTTGGAAAATACTGTTGGTTGTTATGAGTCGGCTGAAAAGCTTTCTGTTGGCTTTCCAGTGTATCACAATGTTCATTAAACTTGAGAATTTTGTGTCTCTCCCCTTTTTTAAGCATACCACAACAGATATGTTACATTAAGTGTTACAGCTCTGCCTGCAAGTAAATGGAGTTCTGTCAGTCAGAGCTGTTCAAGGTTGAAGTCAAAACATCTGGCCTACTCTTCTCCATGGAAAAAGAAATCCCAGCAGGAGGTTGAAGAATGGAAAGTATAATGAGAAGGCATTCTGTGCAGCATGGGAAGAAGTGGTGTTTTGCCATGTTTTTATTGTATTTCTGTGGTGCCCATCCATGGGCATTACAGAAGTGATTTCCATATGTAAGGGAAGGGCACTAAGTCCTAGAGTGTGTCCTTGGTGGGCTTTGGGAGCTGTTTTCACTCTTGCTGGGTAAGATGAAATAGGGGAAACCTACATTTACAAACCTTAACCAAAGCCATTTCATACTGAAATTACAGACAACTGTGTTGCTTTGATGCATGTTTTAAGATAAGGTTTTACTCTTATGCGCTGGTTTTATCTGTGGTAATAAAACTTGTTTTCCCAAGGAAATCTTGAAGAAAATTTCCTGAATTCTGAAGCACTTTTAGCAATAGCTTCCCTGCAGGTGAGGTGGGAACAAAATTAAATTTGCAGCTCAATATTAAAATTTGAATGATAGAATGGTCTAGTGGTACAGAGATCTCTGAATTCATAGATGTGTGACCATTTGTCACAATAGCACAATATTGTGTAATATTGTGCTTAATAGAGACTTGGACTCCAGTTTGGAGTCATAGGATACACTGGTTGTAAAAAATGAAGAGAGTTAATTATCTCCAGTTTCACCATACTGTTTAAACCATGGAGCCTTTCTTCTTAGTAACTGTTCCTTATTTGAAAATCCAAAGCTTTCAGAATAGACTTTGATCTTTACTGTAAAATGGAAGGAGGAGGAAAGCTTTCACACCAAAATGCTAATAATGTTCTCTTTGTTAGTGCCTTTGTATTGCATATTAAGTGGATCAGCCTCTCAGTCCGAGTTCTGTAGCTTTGTAGGCATCCACCTTCCCATAAACCAGTCATCTTTGGACTCTGCCATGGACTGCACTTTTTTCCAGCTGGGGAAGAATGCTGTTTATCCTTTGTTGAGTGTCTGCCCTAAGTGTGGGTGGCTCTGTTAAACTAAAAGCATGTGTGTGGTAGGTGCACTGTCAATAAACTGTTTCTGTATTGTTAAACGGGTTTATTGTATGAGCAATACTTACTCTCTGAATGCCTGATGCCTAATGATTCTATGATTGCATTTTTACATTGTGGTTTGGTAAGTGGAATGCTTGTTGTATTTGAGTCTCCTCGTTCTCTCCAGGAAAAAAATGAATTAAAATCCAGTTTCCTAGGAAAGACTCGTATCTTTTAGGTAGGGAGAAAAAAATACTAAATAAAAAAACCAAGACACACAAAACGAAACAAATCTTTCCTAGTAAATTGTGCTAGGGTTTTGCATTTTTATTGTCCTGTTGAGTGCACGATGACAGGGTCAATAGACTTGTGCATTTTCAAATTATTTACAAGTTGCTGAATTCTGGATTTTTATTTATACTTTCTCACTCCATTCAGCAGTTAGATGTTGTTGCAGTGAGCTTCTGGGCATTCTGCCAAGTCTTCACTATTGTCAGGATGCTGGATAAAGTACAAAGGAAAATGCTTGTCTATGTTTCCTTGTAAAATTTTATAAGTAATGTATAACCTCAGAAGTGAGACCACCCTTATTAAAGTAAGAGCACAGCTAGGTGAAAACAGGACTGACTCTCACCTTCCTTGACTGTCAGTACAGGTGGCTAGAATGTGCAGATCACTTTGACATGCAAGAACTGTAAATATCCATGAATTAATAAGAAAATCTGAGCTAGAACTGTGGGCTTTTGGTGGCCAGAGTGTCTGTGTTTAGTATTGTAAGACTGTGTAATAGTGTAAATGCCAAGATAACTGAAGATAAGCCTTTTCTGAAGAATAAAACTGAACAAAAGGGGTTTGAAATTTCAGCAGCTCTGCAATATTGCCTCTCTTTCAGTTGATCCTGTAGGTATAATGACATGTTTGGCAAAGCCTTGTCCCAGTGCTCTATAGTGTGTAGTTTTCCACAACTGTTCTCATCCTTTTTAAAGAAATCACTCTGTAAATTTTAGAGTTGTTTTTGTGTCATCGGTTAACATTAATTTGGTTAAAATGTAGTAAGATAGAGGAACAAGTGGGGGATGGGACTAAATACTATTTTTTTCCTAAACTGTACTATGGTGAAGCTGATGGTTAATTTCCCAGGTTAATTTCTGTGAAAACATGATTTCTCTGTATCAAAAAACCTCCCAAATTATATGTACTCACTTGCAAATCAAGAGTTGAGGTGGAGTGAGTGCCTCATCCTTCCTTGTGCTCCTTTTTTTAGTGTTTTGCTGTGCACATTGCAAAGAACAAAGTGGAGCACCCCTGCATTTTAGAGAAGATGCCTGTAAATGAATCTGAATGGAGATTGTTATGCTTTGATACCAGCTGAAAGGAAATCTGTGTCCGTGCTTGAGTACTTGCTAGGCAAGATTATTTATTAAGTCACAGAGTTTTTACCTGAGAGTCTGTGTCATGCTGTGCCTACCCAGAGAACAGACAGGATTTGAGCCTCTGACACTATAATGACAAAATGAAAAGTGATTTTGTTTTTCCTGTAGGAAAACAGAAGAAATGTATTTAAACTGATTTGTTTGCTGTTCTCATGTAATTACTTCTTTTTACTTATCTCCTCTCTCTTTTTCTTCCAAGTTTGTGCTGAAGCTTTCAATCCAGATGAAGAGGAAGAAGATACAGAGCAAAGGGTAAGAGTGAGGGAATCACTCCGTGCATGGGTCTCTAGACTGACAGGCAGATGTGCATTGCCTTTTCTTACCACTTGTGCTTTTCGTGCTGAGCGTGGTGTGGTGCCCTGGCAAAGTGACATTGCTTTGAAATTTAGAGCCACTTTATCTCATGGAATTTTTTAGTCACTACAGCTTTAATACAATTTTACTTCAAAGGACTTGAGAGCTGTGCTTAAGTCTAAGATCTTTAAAGTTTTTGCTGTTTTCCTTTCTTAATTCTCTTAAAGGCTTGTTGAGGCAATTCCTAGATCATCAATGCTGTTAAGAAGAATTAGTTAAGGTTTACCACAGCTGTTTCTTCATGGGTGCTTAAAATTCCTCACATGCTTTTTACTGTCTTTCTTGTCAGAGCAGTTCTGCCTGGGTAGGAGAAATGCTTGGCTGAAATATTTTAAGTCTGTGGACACCTGTTTTTTCTCTTTTTCTTGAAAGTCGGGAATTTCTAGGAATTGCAAATCCAGATACTGTAATTGTATTTCTTCAGAGGTGGGTTTGTGTGAGCAAATCTTGTAGCCTGGTTGGTGAGAGTCAGTGTTTTCTCCCTGGACTTCTGGTGTTCTTTTCCAGATTCCATTGCAAGGATGCTTACACTTCTGCAATGATAATCTAAGTCTAATATAATTTCTCTTAAGAAAGAAGAGATACTTCATAAATATACCTAGTAAATAATTTTTATGTGCTATAAAAAGAAAAAATGACTTTGAGTGTGTCAGGTTATTCAAATATTTGTAAACTTGGACACATTTATTCCATCAAAAGTCTTAGTTTTCTTGGCTGATGATTCAGTATTCTGTTCTCTTTTAAAACAAGCATCTGAGACCTGTTTAACTTTGGAAAAGAACTTTATAGAAATGCCTACTGATATAACTAGTTTCTTGAATACTTGTTATTCTGGAAATAAGAAATGTTAATGTGGTGCCTGTCAAGTAATTAATTTTTTAATATGTTTTCATGATTAGCCCCTAACAAGCACATATAAAAACATTTTCATGATACAGTGAGTATTGGTTCCTTTAACCTGATCTTTATAAATGGAATGAAGTAACAAAATATCTCAAACAACAAAGCTTTTATTTAAGTAATTTTTTTAGAAAAAACCACGCTTATTCAATAACTTCGTATTGGATGGGCTGAGATTCATATGGATCATATGGGATATAAACTGTCTGTGTGCCAACAGTAATTATACTGGGACTAATATAGCCAGAGTTCAGGAAGAAAAGTGTTCACTTCTTCCCCTGTTTGATATGTTCAAGCTTTGACTATGGCTGTGTTAGAAGGGAATGGAGTGGAATGGAAAAGGCATCCTCTTCTTTCTTGTCTTTCTTCACTATTATTTTTCATGTGTTAATTGTCAGCATAGTATTTTTCTTATTTTTCTTTCATTCTGTCTTGCATTGTATGTTTATATATAAATACTGTTTATGCAAACAAAAAAGGACTGTATACTTCTGACACTTAAATTGTGCTCTGCTTTTTCATGCTGAAGTGAAGGTTTAGTCTGAAATCATATTTCTCTGTTGTCATGACTGTTCTGTTCTGCTTTGTTTTAAAGGTAGTTCATCCAAAAACCGATGAACAGCGATGCAGACTGCAGGAAGCATGCAAAGATATCCTGCTCTTCAAAAACCTAGATCAGGTAATAGCATTTTAAGGAACTCTTAAATGGAGTTAATTTTTTGTTATGTACAGTTAATATTATCTAGAAGTCCAGACAAAGTTTTTAAAGACAAGAAAATGGGATTCTGTTTAAAAGATAAGGAGTATTTTCAGTGTAGTGGTGCCAAGAGATGCTGCAGTGATAATTCCCAACTTCAGGAGTGCAGTAAATATTTCAAGTGTATCAGCAGCATGGAGACTGGCTTGCGTGTTGATGCAGTGTATTTTTAGAAACTCAGCTGTGATCCACATCTTCAGCTTTGAACATCTGGTCATTGAAAATGCAGCGAAAATATATTGTTAATGGGCTTGGGAACAGCAAGATGGTGAAGCAGGTCAGCATCAAGGCAAGGCATTTCTATGGTGTCATGTTGCTTGGCTTTCACAGTTTCCCTGGCTGTGCTGCTTGCAAAAAAAAAGGAAGTTTTGTCGTGGCTGAACAGGGAAATCCAGCTGGAGCCTGCTGTGCAGACCAGCATTATGCCATTTTCTGTGTGGGCTCCACATCTGTACCTGTCCTGCCTTATCTGGTGCTGGAATTGCAGCTGCTCTAAGATGACAGATTATCCAGGGAAATAAGTCTATGGAGAGCCTTGTTGAGTATAGACCTGATCATGAGTGGGGCTCTTAGATGATTGCAGTACAGATAATTTACTAATTAAGAGATATAGGTGAATAGAATAGATCGTGGTGCCAGTTCTAGACATACATACAGTGAAACACATATACTGTTGGTATGAATTGATGTGTCCATTGCAGTGAAGCTGTGTCAGATTATACCAAAGGTGTGTGTGCTTTGGCACTGAAATGGTATGTGAAAATTGAGCCATTTGAACATAAATTTGAAAAAATGGCTCTTCTGTGCCTGAAGTCTGGTTGTCTGCATTATTGAACTTATATTAATAAGCTGGAAAGGAATGAGCTGCTAGTGGAAATCAACATGTAATATCAGTATTACTTGCATTTTTGTTCAGTAAAGTGTACAAAAGTGTGGTGCATGATCCAGTTCACTATCCAGACCAAATGAAATGAACTCACCCTTGTCCAGCAGTAACACTAAGGTGTGTTTTCTGATAGTTGATTTTTCCCTCCACTCCTGCTTGTTTTCTAGGAGCAGCTGTCTCAGGTCCTTGATGCCATGTTTGAGAGGAAGGTGAAGCCTCAGGAACATGTGATTGACCAAGGTGATGATGGAGATAACTTCTATGTCGTTGAGCGGTAAGCAGCTGTCCTGTGAAATGTAGAGGATGTTTCTTTTCAATTCTTAGAAATAGCAGGGAAATGTTTACTACAGGACAGTTTCTGAAGGAAAATTATTTGTTCAGTTTAGGTTTTGTGCCTATCAGCATAAGCACAGCTTAAACCCAGCCATATATTACATGTTGTCTCTAGACCAGGTTATATTTTTTCATGAAGGAAGGAGGGGAAAAGCAGCAAAAGTAGCCCTGTGGTGAGGGGAAGGGGTAGGACATAATTTTCAGGAAGGTGAATATAGGAAATAAAAATCCATGGTAGTGGCTACCATGAAAAAACCTGGACTTTATTAAATTAATTTTGATGACTGACTTCAGAGAGAGTTGGGGTTGTTCTGCCTCTCTTGGTTGTGTTTTGTATTTGCAGAGTTTAAGGTGCCATTTTGGAATTTCTTCCATCAAGCAAATTCACATCATAATTTTGGGGGTCACATGTATGTGTAACAGGCATATAATACATACTTGTGTGCATGGACATTTTAAATATCTTTTACTCTTTATGAAAAAAAATCTGGATAATGTTACTTTGAATAACCATATCCAAAGAGTAATTGAGAACATGGATTTATTTCCTTCTGCAAAACTGTGATATTAAACAGAATATTACTGAGTGATTTAGAAATGTCTGTTGGAACATGATCTTAGCAAACTGCTTTTTTGGTGCACTGTTATCTTGTTTATCACTGAAATAATGGCACCATTAATATTGTATGAAATGCTTTCAAAGCAGTTCTTCAAGACAGGTTGTTGCCTTTTGAATTGCAAAAGAATTTCTAGGTTAGAAATTGTTGGTTTGAAATGATTCTTGTTCGTTGGTTTGAAATGATTCTTGTTCATTTTAAGGACATTCCCCTTTCTGGTTAGTGAAATTACAAAACATAAGGCTGCATCAAATACATTCCAGCCATATGCCCATTCCCTGTCCTCTGCTGTACCAGCCCATTATTTAAACCAGTGCCCCATTTCTGCACTCCGTTGTCTTCCTCAGCTGCTCTCCCTCCATCCAGTCCCATGTCTTTGGCTAGGCAGGCCGAGTTCCTTCTCTTGCCACATTCACCAGAGACATCAGGCTGTTACAGATAAGAGCAAGGTACTGCACATCAGAGCTTGTGGGAGCCAGAGCCACCAGCTCTGCAGAGATGAGATCTGTGCAGAGCAGTGGTTCCTGATTTTGAGAAACCTTAAACTTGGTTTGGGAGCCTCTCAGAAATGTTAGATACCATCAGCCTATCTTGATTTGTTTCTGTGCAAGGCTCTTACCCTGTTGGTTGTTAAAAGCTCTCTGCTATGAGTTTTAACCTAAATGAAGAAGTGAAATGGAACTTTAACTTAGATACTTAGGTAAATGCTTTTATGGTCTCTGTTCTACTGATACAGTGTTACTCCACAATAGGTTTTTTCTGTCAATAGATAGTTGTATTGGAAGTTTTCAGACTTTTAGGTTTTGTTTTGTTTTGTTCCCAAGTTAAAAGTATGTGACAGAAGGGTTGTACAGTGAAGGAGATTAAATTGGTGTTGTCTAGTGACACCATGGCAGCCTTGGCTGTGAGCAGTAACTCAGCTACAACTCTTTTGTTGGCTGTTTGGTTATTAGGAATGACTGCTGCAGTTAGGAATTCTCTGTCCTTTCTCCCTTTCCAGTCTTCCTCCACCTCCCACACACTTAATTTTTCATGCAAAAGAATAGCAGAGTACTGGTCCTTACGGAAAACCACAATGTTTCCACTTGTGTGCAACTGCAAGTTTGGAGGACTGCAGCTCTTCCATGAGTAGTCATGTCTTGTTACTCCCAAGTAATTAATGCCTAAATATTCTTGAAGATTAGTTTCTTTCTGTCTAAATGAACAGTGACTTTGTGTTTTGGCATAGGCCTTTCTTTCCTAAAGCCTTCTGCTTGCAGTATTTCCTCAGCAGGTGGCTCGTGTCCGAGTGCCTTTCACCACGCACAGAGGGGCAGCAGGCAGGGGAGGTACAGCCTGAGGATGCAGCAGGAGTTCAGTGCCCTGTGCATGGAGGGGAGAGCTCAGAGGGATTTATTTATTGCAGGGCTGAACATGGGACACTCATTGCTGCTGAGACCTGCAGGGTCTGTGCTGGTTGAGCAGTCATCACTCAGGAGGGGCAGCACTGGCCTCTGCTGCCTCTTGGCACAGACTGATCCACAGTCTTGCTGAGCTGCCCTCTTCTGCTTTTTGGCTTTTTTTTTTTTTTTTTTGCCTGAGGGTTTTATATTTTATCATGTCAGTACTTTTCACTCGAGTCCTTGGGCTCATAACGATTACCATCTCAACAATTACACTTCGGTCTGTTTTTATTCTTCTTATCTTGCAGGGCTTTAGTTCATGGACTCTCTCACAGCTCAGCAACAGTTTTCTCAATAAAGCTGAGCCAAGGTCACCCAGTGTTGCATCACCAGATTAGTCCTTGGGCCAAAGACAGCTGAATGCTTGACTGAAGGTTGTTACGTGGCTGTAGTTATTTGGAAATAAGTGGCACTAGTAAGTGACTTTCAGGCTGAAGGATGGGAAGAAGTTGTTAAGGTGTTCACATCTGACTCTTCCAGACCAAAAAAAACAACTCTGAAGATGGTTGCCTCTGGTGCCTCTCAGAGAATCATTAAATAGATATCAGACATTACAAGAATTAGTGACACTTTCCATCAACACTAATCCTTTTCTAGTTTACTTTTAGTATGCTGCTGGTTTTCTACTCTCCTAGGTGCGAGTAAGAACCTAGGAGAGTATAAGGTGTCAGGTAGGATTGTTGTGCAGTCTCACGTGCCTTCCTTCCTCACTTAGTACCATTTCTGGTCATTCATTTTCTTTTTTACTTATGTGCCTAGTGATGTTGTGGGATATAATACCATTTTTGGTATTTTATAATACCATTTACCATTTTCTCTTCAGAGATCTTTGTTAGATATCAGTGGGTTTAGAGCATCTTGGGGTTATGATATACACATACCCTGAAGCTGGAGTTGTGACAAACCCATAGTAGCAGGTGAGCAGTTGGATTGAGTGTGTTCCAAAGGTCCTGCAGCAATGCTGGCACTGAGAAAATGGGTAGAGATGGATCTGAGTCACTCTAGAGGCCTCGCTGGGTAACACACATGCTGTGAAATGTCACTGTTGAAGATGATGAAAATGCTTCTCACCCTGGCCAGAACAGCAATGTCAGAATATTGTGCAGAGGAAACCAAGCAGATCCTGCCAATATCTATCAGGAGTGAAATGCTTTAGTAAGAGACAAATATTGTGAAAACAGTATAGCTAGAAATGCTTTAGAAAAGACAGTTATTGTGAAAATAGTATAGATGGAAATGCTTTAGAAAGAGACAATTATTGTGAAAATAGTATAGATAGAAATGCTTTAGTAAGAGACAACTATTGTGAAAATAGGATAGCTAGAAGCAGCTGAGAATCAGGCAGCTGGAAAGCTCAAAACGTTCCATCTCACACACCAATAAAAGCACTATCTGTTTAACAACAAAAACCTGTTTTCAAGGTTTGTACTGGGATGTTGCCTAATAAAAAGTGTTTATTCCATTGTTTTCCAGAGGATTGTATGATATTGTTGTAGCAAAAGACAACCAGTCTCGCTGTGTGGGCCGCTACGACAACCACGGCAGTTTTGGGGAGCTGGCATTGATGTACAACACTCCTAGAGCTGCCACCATTGTTGCCACAACAGAAGGAGCCCTTTGGGGACTGGTAAGGAACGGAAGTTGCTCTCATATGCATAATATTTGAAGCAGTGCCTCACCATGTCCAGAGCTTCTCTTGATATGGCTCCTCTGCTCATAGGTATTTTATCAGGATCTGCTATCTCATCTCCTGGCATGACAGATCCATTGTGCAGATCTTTTTGGCTGACTTTCTGGAACAACTTGTCTGTAAAAACTATATCACTAGTTCTATCTGTCCCTTTATAGTTTTGCTTTTACTGTAATTGTGGCTTTTGTTAGTAGAGAAGAAAAAACTCCTGGTTTTGTTTCCATCCTGCAGAGGACAGTGGAGCCATTAAAGCGCTTTCTTTTTTTTTGGGAGGGGAAACAATATCTAAATTATGCTCTTTATTTTCAACTCACCTTCCTACCATTTTGTCTCTTAAGGGAATGGGAGTGTGTTAAATATTTTCTTGAGAATGTTAGTAATTTAAAAAGGTCAGAAAACTGCCCAAAGCTTTGTTTTCCTTCACAATAAACTGTGGTTCTGTTACCTTGGAAGAGGTTCTCAGGTCGGCATGACCTATGAGATGCTGAGCTAAATGATGGTGTTGCTTTTGTCTCTAGCCCAGCAGTGCTGAATGTGAAGCTGTAGCCATTAGTTTCCTTTTTTAGTCCTTTTCTCTGCACTATTTGGATAGGGTTATTTTCCCAGTGCTCTCTTACTCATCTGTGAGGGCTGGCATAATAAGTGGATTGTGGATCAGCAGGGCTTTGAAGCCACAAGTGTTGTGTGCAGTCCCTGTGCCCCGGGCTCCTCGGCAGCTCTCGGGGGCTGGCTGGGTGTTGTGACCTTGATTGTAGGACTGATAAGCTGCTGCACATGGCTGTTCCTGCAGTCTCAGCGCTCGCTGGGAGATCTGACTTCCCTTTTATTTGTGACGTGAAAGAAAAGAATTGGGTAAATCAACCAGGGAGTAATGTCAGAATCTCATTTCTGGAGGAAGACAGAACAAAGCAGCTAGCTACAAACTGAGCTCATTCATAAAAGGAAGAAAATGAGAAGATGATTCTTTGTTCCAGTTTGCCTTCGAAAAGAACTGCATAAATTGGGTTAATTTTGGATTTAGTTTTTCTGTGATTATATTCAATTAATTAGCAAGGTGTAGATGAACAGGGACTTCTTGCTGATCATCTGTCCTGTAAACATTTTATTAACTAAGGCTGCATTTTCCTCTCAGACTTCAGTTATTTCTTCCAGTTGCTCTGTTTGTTCCCGTATTTTATTGTACTGTTTTGTCCCTGATGTAATTTAAACATATTTTTATTAGTATGCAGAAGTCATTGCTTAAGCTCTTTGTTATCTGCCGTTTGGGAAGTGTGGATTGCTCCTGCTGCATTGCAGGCTTAGGCCAACAGAAATCTGGAAGGCTCAGGCACAAAGCAGTTGTCACAGTGGGTCCCTTCTGGAGGAGGGAAATGTCCTCAGCCTTTGCTGCTGAATGTGTCTGGGGCAAACCTCACGGTCACACACGCTGCCTTCACAGCTCGGCTTCTTTTTGTTCAAATACTGCTGCTTCTCCTCCCTCACTGATACTCTCAAGCAGGTGAATTCTGACTTTTTACGCTTTTACAATCCCCCCACAGTTTCTGCGTCTTTCTGCTTCTCCAAATACAAACATTTGAAGACACTTTTACCACTGAAGAATTCCTTTAAACACAGAAAAATCCCTTGTGCTTTATCATCTCTTTTTCTCCTTTGGATAACAATAATACCATCCTGCTTTTCATCTTCCTCATCCTTCAACTTTAATGTTCCATTGATATCACCTCTATTAGTCCTTATTATACGTATTTGCAGCCTGCATCCCTTAAAGATGTCCACTTACTGAAAATACCTCTTCACCTCAAAGTGCTGCTGCTTAGGTACCAGCTGATGGTTTTGGAAACTGGAGGAATGGCTCTCAGGATGTTTCTGGGTTATTTTTGGTTGTTTTTCTTTTTTTGTGGTTTTGGTTGATTGTTTGGGGTTTTTGTATCATTTTCCTGACCAAATTTCTGCTCCTGCCCTCTGACTTTTTTTTTGTTTTTACACTGACGGCCCCAGCTGCGCACGGCGATCCGCAGCTGTGTCTCGGTTGGCGGATCCCAGCGGGGCAGACACTGAGAGGAGCCTCCGGTGCGGTGCCCCTGCCGTGCGGTGCCGGTGCTGCTCCGGCAGCGCTCCCGCTCCGCTCCGCTCGGTCTGTTGGCAGATCCCGGCGGGGCAGACGCTGAGAGGAGCCCGGTGCCCTTGCCGGGGTGCGGTGGCGGTGCCGGTGCCCTTTGCCGTGCGGTGCCGGTGCCCTTTGCCCTGCGGTGCCGGTGCCGGTGCCCTTTGCCGTGCGGGTGCCGGTGCCCTTTGCCGTGCGGGTGCCGGTGCCGTGCGGTGCCAGTGCCGGTGCCCTTTGCCGTGCGGTGCCGGTGCCCTTTGCCGTGCGGTGCCGCTCCCGCTCCCGCTCGGTGTTGGCAGAGCCGCTGGCCCCGCAGCGCCGCCCCGTGGCCGCGGCGCGCAGCGCGGGCGGGGTTCTGTCCCTCGGCGCTCGGCTCCCCAGCGCGCGCACCGCAGTTTCCCTGCGGAACGCGCACACAGCCGGCAGCTGGGAATTGGTCCTTCCGCAAGCTGGCTCTTGCATCTGAGAAGGTGGAGTGAACAAGCCTGCTGCTGTTTGATACTTTGTTCCTGACCTGAGAGCAGTATAAATCTTCAACGTTTGAAATCTGTGGCTCAAGTAGAGAGGAATCCAATCAGAATTAGTTCTGCAGTTGCCATAACAAGTGCTGGAAATGCCAATTTTCACTGGCTTCAGCAGCAGAGTGAAACTTCTTCATTTGATGCAGAAGCATAAAAGATATATTAGCAAATAGGCAAACAAAACCCCAAAACTCAACCCAGAAAAATTCTATAAGATAGAATAAAAATGGAATCCCTAAGTGGTTGTCTGAGAAGGATCAGGTCTTACAGCTCCCTGTTTTTTAATTTGTTATTGCCAGAAGTACTCTTAACAGGAGCTGTTGCAGTCAGCATCGTGGTGGATGTGGTATCACTTTAGCAGCTGCTTTCTCAGCCCTGGCGTTTGCTGTAAATACTGGTTCATGTTTGTCAGTTCTTTAAACAGGGAGCATTTCAGTGAAGAGGAATAATGTATTTCTCTGTGCTGTTTCTTGCAGGATCGAGTGACGTTCAGAAGAATTATACTGAAAAACAACGCAAAGAAGAGGAAGACGTATGAATTATTTATTGAGTCTGTGCCCCTTCTTAAATCCTTGGAGGTAAAACCTCTCAGAGACATCTGCATCAAATTCTTGCATTAGCAGCAGCTCCAGTCAGTGTTCCTGCTATATCAGAAATCTGTTGTTTTTGCTTAGAACAAAATACTAAGTGCTGCTTTGGTATCACATATACTACACAAATTAATTTGCATTGCTGAAATGGGTTTAGGGCTTTTTTCCCCAGATCCTTTATTCACAGTAGCGATTTGCTGATTTTATCTCAGTCTGATTTTTTAAAAAGTTATTTACACAAAAAACACCCCACAAAACAAAAAACTACCTATATGTATTTCAGGAAACAGATACCAAAATGCAGCTTGGTAGTCAGGGCTGTGATTGCCTGTGGGGATGTGATATTGAAGTAAGGATACGGTTACTGGGAATTTGGCCTTTTATCAGCCAGGAATGGTTTTAAATTTGAGACAAAGGTGTGGGCTGTAAAGTCTTGCTTTAAACTTAAGTTAATATAAAGGAGTTAAACTAAAGGGAAGCACTGTGACTTTGGAATGCAGTCACACTGTCCTGTTGGGGTGTGTGGTGCCTGAATTTAGGAACAATGTGGAAATTGTCACTTCCATTGATTCACCCTGAATTGTCAGGGCTTTTGGAACTGACCAACCTGCTTTTGCATTAGTCTGTTTTTGCCTTAAACCATAATTTAACTTTCCTTATCATAAAAAAAAATACTTTCCAGCATTAATCTTTAGTGTTTGAGCTCTTAATCCCTTTGGTAGAAGATGACAAAATTGCAAATATCATTAGGTGTGAACAAGAGCCTATACTATGTATTACTTTGGACAGACGTTGTAGCTGTGGAGGAGATAAATTACAACACCTTCTCTCAGTGCCTGGCTTAAACTGGTTCCATCAATGTGACTTTTTTGAGCACAGAAATGACTCAAATATTTAAAGATACAGCAAAATAACTCATTAGCACAGGATGGCTTTTTGCATGACACATTGCAGTTGAATCATGCATGGACCAGAATTTGATTTCTCAAAGATAGGCAAGATGAAGGTGCACTTGGGGAATGAATGGATTGATTACAACTGAATCATCTGCTGAATTTTAACTGTTAGGATTTTTTTCCTTTCTTGGTATGATTTTTTGTGCTGCTCTGAAGCAACGAAATTGTTTTGTGGGGTTCTAAATGGGTGGTGGGGAACACTGGAGATAACTCATTTTTCCCTTCCTGTTTGTGAAGACTCAGGCATGTTTCCTGGCATGCCAGGTGCTGCCTCCTGCCCTTGCTGCTGGGCATCTACTGCAGGGCTTGCTCCCAGTGCACAGCCTCTGTCCTTGTCATGTCATCTTCCTCTTCACTCCAGGAATGAGTTCTTGGACACAATTCCTCCCACACATGTGTTTAAGTATATACTGGTTAAAATATGTTTAAAATGTTTTGCTGGTATTTCTCATTAGAGTTTGTTCTTAGGAAATTTGTAACATTTTTGGAGTGTTTTCTTCAAATTTCAACTGAATCCTAAAGAAAGTGATTTGTCTCCCCTCCCCTTTGCTCTAAATCAGCCAAATCAGATATTAAGTGGTCAGAGAAGCACAGGGATGGGACACTAGACAATTTTATTTCCCTGTTGATTATGGTAGTCTTAAAGACCTGTGTTGCAGCATTATGATAATGTCATTTTGGGGCTACATTTATAAATTGTGTGTTTTTGTGTCTAGTGAATGCCTGTTCATTTCAGGAGGGGTCATAGAGATTCAGAAGAGTTCATAGAGATAAACTATAATTGATTATTATTTTTAATTTTCCTCTTTGTTCCAGGCATCAGAGCGAATGAAGATTGTGGATGTTATAGGAGAGAAGGTGTATCAAGATGGGGAACGTATAATTTCTCAGGTACTTGAAATCTAAACTTTTCTTTATCACTCTCCTTTCTGTACTTCTGTTTTTTCTGTTCGGAATTGACTTGCAGAGTTCTATTACTTAGACCAACTTGGCATTTATTCTTTTAATATTTCAAATTTATTTAACCACTTCTTGAGTGTTTGGGGAATAGACAGTATGTATTTTGCTGCAAATTTATTCTATTACTTTAGCTTCTTGGTATTTCTTCTCTCATGTATGCTTTATAAGTAGTCTTTGCAAGGACTGAAGATGAGTGTGCCTTCAGAAACTGAAATTAAATGAAGCAGTTTTCCATGAAATGCCCCATGCAGAGTTTTCCTAGGCCCCTATGACCAGATTAAACAGGGAGTCATTAAGAAACTGTGCTCTAAGTGTTCTAAGAAACTGTCAGGGTTAATTGAAACCATTGTTTTTTCTTGTGCTTTCCTGAGGTATTTCAGTGGTCTGGTTTCACTTGAGTCCTTTAGTGATTGGGGAATGTTATGTCTGCTGCAGTAGATCAAGGCCAGGGTGGTAGAACATGAAGCTGGATGAACTCAAGCTGTAGCTGTTTGATTTTTCTTTTGGCTGTGACAGAAATAACTTTTTGGAACAGTTGCATACACTGGAATTTTGCATCAAAATTAGCTGTGGGTTGCTGTGTTGTACAAGTGCTCTAGTTCAAGTAGAAGTTAATGCAAGAAGGGCTTACCTGAAACTGCAGGTTTTTGGTTACAGTGTTGTTCTTGTTGTGTAGACAGAACACTACTCCTTGATAGTGTCTTGAATAATTGATCTTAATTATTTTGATTGTCACATAACTGAATATAGGAAACAAGTTTGGTGATAACTGTCAAATGACTTCACTCCAAAAATACCCTCAGTTTTTAAAGTTGAAACTCTTTTTGCTTAAGACCCTGAGAAAACTGAACTCTTGGCAAAATCAGAGCTTGTAAATCAGTATCAAAACTGGGAATTCATACCATCAGTGATCCACTTACACAGTTGATTTTATTCTTTTTTAATAACTGAATTAAGGACAAGGATGTAATTATCCTTAAAAGGAGGATTAATAGTTTGGATAGGTCTGGGTGATGGTAGGCTAGAGATGATGAAATTCTGTGCTTGCAAAAGATATGATAACTCTGACATTAAAGCAGTTGCTTCAGTACCAGGAACCTCTTTTCCCTTGTGAGTAATTTAAAATTCTAATTACCTTTCTGGAATTTGACCCTTCAGTTAAGGGCAGTAAGCTTTAAAGCACTTGAAAGTTGTTAGTAGTGTTATGAGGGTGTCTCCCACTCAGTTTGTTTCCATTATTTTTAAAAATAGTGTTCTTTCAGCAGTTACTCTTTCAGAAGTTAGCACAGAGCATTACTTCATGCTGTGATGGTTGGCAGTGGTGAATGAAAAGTTTGCACTAGATGGCTTATGACCATCCCCAGGAAGCTTAGCTAAAGGTCTAATTTCTTCTGTAACTCCATGTTTAAACTTACATCATCTTCTCCCAGCCCATGTTTCATACTCAAGTTACAACTGTCTCTCTCCATCCTTCCCTTCACATTCATCTCCTTGACCACCTGACTTAATTTTCTCTCTCCTCACTTTGTTTCAGGTTTTTCTGGTGAGCTGCTCTCATTCCCTTATCAGTTCCTTTTCCAGCCTTTGTCTCCTGAAGCCTTTAGTCCTTTTGCTTTTGGTTTGTAGCAGGAGGCATGTTGCACATCTCCACTCTGACTCCAGCCCTACGCCAGGCCCACAGGGGCAAATATAGACAGGAAAGGTCCTTTCTGTCACAGATAAAACTTTAAAATTATAAAGTGCTGGTGAAGCTCTCCAGAGCAGATATAAACTGGGATCACTTGAAGATTTTAAACGTGATGGGGTTGAGAGAGAGATGAAAAATGTTCTAGAATCTCTCACAGAACAACAGAATGGTTGAGGTTGGAAGGGACCCCTGGAAGTCCCCTTGTCCAACCCCTCTGTTCAAGCAGGGCCACGGGGAGTTGAATGGCAACCTTCTTCCTGCTGAAAGGAACAGTCACTAAATCCCTGTTGTATTGAAATTTGCTTCTGAAAATTCTAGGTTCTGCTTAGTTTCACTAACTATTAGCTAAGTCCATCAGGATCAGAAGATTTTCATTTAAGGGATTTTGCTATATATCATCAATCTCCTTTGTGTTTTCCTTTCCTCCTGCCCCCTTACTGAATGATGTGCACTAATCCTTCCTTCCCTGTGGGCTCCTCTGGTGTGTTACCCAACCAGTCACCTTTTAATGTTAAGAATCTGAGTGTTTGTCAATTCTAGCAGATTTCTGCAGAAGGCCTAGTTCAAAGTGAATGCATTAATACCATTTATACATACTTTCACAGTCAAGTAAAAAAGAATTTATTTTAGTTTTTCTTCTTCACAGGGTGACAAAGCAGACTGTTTTTACATTGTAGAATCCGGAGAAGTAAAAATCTTGATTAAAAGCAAGGTGAGTTCAAATTGAGTGATGAGGCTTTGTATTAATCAATCCCTGATTTGACTGATTAATACAAGAGATGTAAAAAAGTCCACCCTGAGTTACTTTAAAACATTATTTTATGATGTTGATCATCATTATTCATATGATGTAGGTTATAAACTCCCATACCTGTTCTGAAGCAGCCAGAAGCCATTTTACTAAAGTGCCAAGGTCTTTTGCTTCTGCCTGCTACTCTACAAACTAATCTGATATGTGAGGGACTGAGAGAGCCTGCAGCTCAACCCATCCCCTCCCTTCCCACACTGATACACTTTCCCTGGCCATAAGGGTGGAGATAAAACTTTTCTTCCATGATTGTAGAAGACTGCACATTACAAAATGTGGGGTCTGTTATCTTTAGTGACACACTAGCTGTTGGCATTTGCATGGGTCTCTGTACAGTCTGAAGCAGCCAGGGGAGCAGCATATGGTGAATGATAAAGCCTGTGTTAGGCTACATAACAGCAGTTCCCAAAGCTGTAGCAGTAGATACCTGCCTGTCTCAAAACTTGTGGGCTGGCACACATTTTTCTTACCAAACTTCCAGCTGGACATGGTGATGAGTTGTTCTACCATGACTTGGGGTTGCTAGTTTAAAGGCCTGAAACCAAGGACCTGTTGCACAGGTGTAAAGTGTCTGGGATTGTTAACTGTAGGTTTGTACAAGGACAGAGCTGTGTGCAAATAATGAAACTGCACTGTTTGACAGACCATGACGAGTAAAGAAGCTAATCAAGAAGTGGAGATTGCCCGGTGTCACAGAGGGCAGTACTTTGGAGAGCTTGCACTTGTCACCAACAAACCCAGAGCAGCCTCTGCCTATGCTGTTGGGGAGGTCAAATGTTTAGGTAAGCACATGGTCTGTGTTTCTAGTCATCCTTTTCTGTTCTTTGCTTGTCTCATGGGCCATGCTTGAGCAAGCAGTCATTCAAAACCCAGCAACATTTTGGTAACTGGCAGTCATTCCAGAAGCTGGAAGCATGGGCTGGAGGGGAGCTCCAGGTGGAAGCTGGAGAAGCACTGCTGCTTCCTCATGGCCGATTTTCTATTTTCTCTGTGTGTGGCCTGTACTGGTTTGTCACACATAGCCTTCAGGTCATCTTTTAATACCACTGTGCGGGTGTACTTTCTGTGTTTATCCTTGAGATCAGGTTTATATTTCATTCATCTTGCTTCACCAAATAACAGTACAGAGAGAAATTGGAAACATGATTTCTGTTTCTGTGGTTACTTTTGAAGCCTCAGCCCTAAGTGGGTTGATCTGAAGGTCTGTGTTCTGAGTTCAAAGACCAGATTGGTATTTGGTGTCCTTTTTGACAAACAGTCTTGTTTCACCTCTGTTCCATTACAGTCATGGATGTGCAAGCATTTGAGAGGTTGCTTGGACCCTGCATGGACATTATGAAGAGGAATATAACACATTACGAGGAGCAGCTGGTGGCAATGTTTGGCTCTAGCATGGACCTGATGGATCCAGGGAATTAGGCACAGGGTACCTCAATGCCTTCTTAGTTCAAGACACAGAAAAGCCTCCTATCAGCAACACAACTCACAAGGACAACGGACACTACGGAACAGTTACTGCTGCTGTTTTCTTGGGCATTTTAGAAACCATAAACAAGTCTCAGCACAGATGGATTGCTCACTCCTCCCTGCCTCCACTTTGCTGCTGATACTTCATTATTAGACCTAGATTAAAGATGATTCTAACCCTATGTTCACTTACTTGGTTCAGAATGGCGTCTGTCCAGCAGTTCAAGTGCCTGATATGAAACCCAAAGTGTGCAAGACATTGAAGCCTCCTTCCTTCTGGGTGTCACTGTTGGGGTAAATTGTCCCATCAGATTCTGTAGTGGGAGGTTGCCTGTTCTGCAGAGGCAGCCTGTGGAATACAAGCCTTTTATGGGCTGATTACTTTCATCTGATGCTTTCCTTACACGATGTCAAATTTGCTTTTAATTGTAGCATCTGGGTTTGAAGTTAAAGTATCAATGGAGCCAGTGAATAAGATGGCACTGAAGTTTTGGTTCACCTGCTGAAAGCAGCAGGTAAAAAATATAGAGAACTCTTTAAACCAAGTAAACTGAGCTGGGGACATGGGAGAGTCTGCTTAGCAACCAGATGCAGAAAACATATTTTAAGTGTTTTCTGAGCAGCAAAGAAAATTGGTTTACTCTATGCTGTCCAACAAAGTGCAGTGGTTCAGATCAAATGGCCTGAAAGTGTCATAATTGTCATCTCCCCAAATTTGCTCCTCGTTCCTGACACTGAGTACATTTTATGGTGGTGAGATAACAATATATGACCTTCTCTTACTTACAAAGATCCTTTATACTGCTACATTTCCCAGGGTGCAGTTGTTGACTGGGTCAGTTTTAAAGCTTTTTAAGGAGGTGAATGTTTTGTAATTTAAATGAAGACTACTTCTGTACTTGTTTACAGGAGCTTCCCCTAGTCCTAACATTTCACAGTATTTTAACTTCATTAGACACTTGAATGCTTCCAAATACCACATTGATTTGCTAAACTTTTCAAAAGTTGGCAACATTTGACTTTGTAAAGCAAATGTCTTTGCTAACTGCGCAGTTGGTGTGTTTGAGGAGTCTTTTGGTTTAGGTGATAACTAAGCTAATGATGTTTATATAAAATACCTGTTAAATTTGCAGCATTTATTAGGTAGATTCTGTTTCTATAGCTTTAAGGACCTTAATTGGCATATGGCTGAGATTTTATCAGGGTATTATCTAAATAAGAATCAGACCATGAGAAGGACATTTTTATGGTGTTCAAACTGACTATATATATTAAGACATTGAATTTGGAGGTAATAAATCTAGTGACCCTTTGAGTTTGCATTCTTCCACAGCTCATGCAAAACATATTGGTGTTTTATGGGGTTATAAAATTTTAATAGTGAATACTAGTGTAACAGAACTTGCTCTTTTTATTCATGGCCATGTAAGCAAGAATGGAAGGATGCTAATCTTGAATTCCTGCTTTTAGTTATCACAGTGGACATTTCTCTAAGGCATGAGATGCTTAGCAGCAACTCTAAGTTGATTTCTGGACAGTTTTTTCCCCATAGTGGATGAGCTCCTCCCATTTCCTGCAATATGAGTAAGATGGAAAGTTGATAAATTTGAATGACTGTTGTCCAGTTACTGTAATTGCAGTCATATTTTTATATAATGCAAATGATTTGTAATGGACACCACTGAACTTGGTGTTTCCATATTATTAAAGTTCTGGTCGTGATGTCTAATGGCTGTTCTAACTGCATGTATTTTAGAACAGTGAATTTCACTGCTTTCCTGGGCTGTCTCTTTGTCATAAATGACAGCCAAAGAAGCAGCAGGTATTTTTCACTCATGCTTCCAAGGTTTAACACCAAAGAGAAGAATAATTGTTTTCATCACAGAATTTAAATACCAAACAAAACCCAAATCTTCTTGTTGGTTTCAACAAGAAAAAAAAAAAGAAAAAAACCCACTCATCAGCTCCTTGCAGTGATAGCAGGTATAACTTTAAGATACTTTGGGCTCCATGACAGAGAGAATTTCTGAAGCCAGCTCATGACTGTCCTGTGAACCAAACAGGAACTGGTCTCTGAACCAGCCTGAATTTCTGTGCTGCCTAAACTGTCATGTGAGCTAAAGAGAAACTTGCTGTGAATAATCACCAGCTGGCCTTTGTTGCTCCCAGGCAGAATATCCTCTCCTTTATCCAGAGAAGCCTGGCAGGTTGAGCTGCCTTACAGATGGATTCTGTAATGCCTTTTGTTCTGTGCAGGACAGGACTGTAACCTCAGCACAGGCAAACACAGGCAGTTGTTCCAAAGCTTAACTGAAACCCAGGCAAGGCTGATGTCAGATTCTTGAGATATTTCTGCCTCGAAGGCAGAATTTGATGGTTTCTAAAAGTCAAAGGAAAAGAATATAAAATCAAAATACTGCGATCCCACGTGAACAAGAACAAGCTTTTGAAGTTTTACCTTTCTCTGGGCTCCCTGGACCAATGGCATACTGGGCAATGCCATCCTGCATCCAGGGTCTGTGCAGCATCATTCTGTGGTGCAGAGGCAGCTGGCTTTGAGCTGAAAGAGAATGAGCTGCTAAGAAGGCTCATCCATTTAAGAACTATAATGTGTGCCATGTGCCTGATTAGTTTGGTCTAGTTTAACCAACCTGTTTGTACAGTTTTGGAGCATGAAGGTAGTGGAAAGAAAGCTGCTTTAGTAAGATACTCAATATTGCCAGGAGTCTGGTTAGAGCACCAGCAGTGAGCAAAAGTGGGTGATGTGCAAGTGCTGATACTGAGTCCAGGGAGCAAGTACAGCACCTGTTTGTGACCATCTGCCCCATCCCTGTATCTCAGCTCCTTCCTTTGCACTCTGCTCATTGCAGCTGTTGCCATGGAGTAAGCCCAGGTGTTTTGTTACTGCTCAGTGTTCAGTAAATCTGCCACTGACTCTCTGAAATTGGCACTGAAGAGAGATTTAGGTTTTGATAAAAGAATGCAGCAGCAAAGTGGGCACAGAGGATCATGTTTTCGAGGCTTAGAGGGAGACATCTCCCATTTGTGATTCCCTGCTTGTGATTGTTGTGAAGTCAGTGAGAGGAGCTTTCAGTGGTTAAATATCCTGGCACTTGGTATTTCTGTCTAATGTCACAGCACAGGTTCGACAATGTAAAACAAAAAAGTGTGGAAGTGCTTCCTTCTTAGAAACAAAAGTGCAAAACTTAAAATAAAACTTTGAAAACAAAGTGCAATTTTGCACAGAGGGCAAAAAAACCCTGAAACCCCTTTGAATGTCACTTCCATTCTTTCTTTCTTTTGCTGAAAGCAGACTCTTGTTCTTGACTTGTATTTGTAAACTAGTCTTGCCAAAATACACGTTGGGTTTTTTCACTTCAGATAATTTTTGTTGTTACAGTCGTTGCTGATCATTTTAACTTTTTTCAAACCATAAATTTTATTTCAAGAGGCCTTCCCTGTGGATTTCCTCCTGGCGCTCTGCAGCACTACACTGCTCTTTCAAGAGGCAAGAGAAGGTCACCTCACAGGAGACACTCAACACAGCTTAGCTGGCTGGAGCTAATAATGCGCTACTAATTTTCCTCTGTGGGGCAGGAGGGGAATTAAATTCTGCATAAAGTTGCTACCTCAAGGCTCCAAGTGCTTTTAAAGGTCTTTCACTTGGGAGAATTTAATAAGACAGTTCTTAAAATTGGTCTGTTCTTTTGAGTTAAATGGGTTTTTTTTAATTGATTCATTGAGGGACCCTTATTTTAATTCATTTTACTACTTGATTCTCAAAGGATGAACAGCTGCAAAGTTTGGTTCTTGCACTGTAGTGTTGAACATGAAAGAAAAAAAATCTGCCATATAAACATATGGTTTTAACAAGTTAAACCACTCTGGGGTTCAGCTTCACTTTTGGTTAATAAAAAACTGACCTGTTGTGTCCAGCCTTCCTTACAGTCCTGTGTGTGCTCGTTATTGACTCGCTGCAGCTGACACAACCCCAGCCTTCCAGCAGCTCCCGGATACACTGGGAATGCCTGAGTGAGTTCCTCTTGCCAGAGTCTCACGGAGAGCAGTAACAAAAATAGATTTTATACAGCACCTGACCTCCAAGTTTTGCTGCTCAGTGATGAAATTTTACTAATATCTTAAAAGTAATACAGACTTGTGTAGGTAGTGTTGGTCCCAGTAAAACTGGCTGCTCTGGTAAGTCTGCCAAATTATTGTGGAACTGATGTACTGAGCACTACACAAACTGGTTCTCAGTTCCCAGGAGAAACACAGTATTCCTGAAGGTATCTTGTTAGCCTACACTTAAGAGCTCCTGAATTTTATGTGGCAAACTGCCTTTTCTTTAACCTAACTAACAATCTGAAAATTACTTTGGTACACGTGAAATTATATTTGCTTTTGCTGAACATGAAATGTTTCTGAACATTTGGCAGTTGATGTACCATTTTTAAGGCAGCCCAGGAGCGGAGCTCAGGTGGATTGTGGTGCTGAGCATGAGAAATAAGCCGCTGGAATCATGCAGGACCTTTGCACAGACTGGGCTGTGTGAAGGTGCAGGCAAGAGGTGTGAGCTGGGCCTTGCCTGGAGCATGTGGGATGTTCCTTGGGCTGCTCTGCAGCCTTACCCGGCTGGGCTCGATGCGAATTCCTGGATAAACCTGGTAAAAGAAGGAAGATTCTGTAAAATTCTTTTGAGGATAATGGTTAATTATTTCAGCAGAGCAAACGTGCTTCCATCCTTTCTGCTCTTTCTGTGGTAAGGATACATTTCATGCCAATCTTTAGAGCAGGTTCAAGATACTAAAATTGTGTTATTTTACCATCTCAATCACTGTTGACTGGTGGGTGCAAAGACAGGCTGCCGGGCTCGTTCTGTGCACTTCTCCAATTCGTTTCAGCTGTCTGTCCCTACAAAGCTGAGGCTGGGGCAGCAGAGTCTCCTCAGTGTGTGTAACGCGGTGCCAGGCGCCGCCTTTACCCGGGGCTGCATCGGGCGCAGCCCCTTCGCTTGGGGAGCAGCGCAGGAGCGGTTGTGGCGCGGCGCTCCGTGTTGGTAAAGGCTCGCGTGCCGCACTCCGTCTGTTCCCGCCGCTTCCCAGAGATTCGTCTCAGCCTCAGACACTGCTCTGGCTCTCCTCCGTCCGCAGGGCTGCGCTCGTGTATTCTGGCTCGGTGCTGCGGGCCCGGGCCGGGCCATGGCGACACGGGAGGCGCCGCGCGGTTTCCATGGCGACACTGACCCCGCGCGGCCGCCGTAGAAGGGGCGGGCGGCGCGCGCGGCCCGGCGGGGCGGGGAATGGCGGCGGCCGCGTTCGAGCGGCGCGTGCTGCGGTGCGCGGCCGAGCATCACTATCTGCGCGTGCGCCTGTGAGCGGCACCCCCGCGAGGCGGGACCCCCGAGCCGGGACCCCCGAGCCTCCCTCAGAACCCTCCTGACCCCTGTGCTCTCCTTCCCGCAGGGAGCTGCCCGACGGCGGGGCCCGGCCGAACGCCGCGCAGTTCAAGCAGCTGGTGGTGACCGCGCTGAGGGAGCTGCACGGAGAGGTGGGACCGGCACCGCGGTGTGTCCTCGGCTGGCGGCTCCGGGCTGGCCGGGAGAACCTTGCGGAGCGGGCAGTTTTCCCCTGGAGCAGCCGCTGCGGCTGAGGAGCAGGGACCGAGCGGGGCCGGGGCGGGCGGGGAGGGTGCATGGGCCGGGCCGGGCCGGGCCGCCCGTTCCCCGCTCGCCAGCCCCGTCCTGACTCGCTCCCGGTGAAGCCGTGCGGTTCGGTGCGGTGCCCGCAGCCAGGCGGCTCCGGCCGGCCCTAGCAGTGCTCAAGGTCGCGTTGGACCGGGCTTGGAGCCTGCTCTAGTGGAAGGTGTCTCCGACCGTGGCAGCGGGGCTAGAGCTGGATGGACTCAACCGTTCTTTGAGAATTGTTTTAGAATTTGGGGTATTGATGCTTTTGCTGTAGTGAGGCTTTTAAAAGAGAACTGTGGGAAGGGAACAGCTTTTTGGATGGGAAAGTCCGCAGCACTGGTTTTGCTCTGTTTATTGCTGGCTGACTTCAAGCAGATCACATCACCTCTTGGTCTGTTTCTCTGTCTGAAATGTGTAAATAAAAGTGGTTTCTAAAGAACTCTGAGAGGAAGGGTGCTGTTTAAAATCTAGTGATGTTGTAACTGAAACACTTGTGTGAGATTAGAGCGTATCTATAACACTTTTAATGATGTAACCTGCTGGGGCTGAAATCAGTTACTTACAAACCACGATAAGAACATAGGGTGATACTAAATAACTGTTTTGTTTTTTTTTTTTTTCATAGGCTGGAGCAGCTTTGCCTTTTGATGTCTTAACATATGAGGAAAAAACTCTGTCTGCCATATTAAGAGTAATTAGCAGGTAAGGTGCAGTCAATCTGTGCTCCCATGCCATGAAAATATTTTTCATAAGAAAATAGAACTCTTAAACTAAGAATGGCCTTTGTAGAATTAAGCCTAACTTGCAGATCTTTGCATACAGCATGCAGAAAATAATCACTGAGGCTTGGTAACTTGGTGCATCAGTACATTATTCCTGCTTTAAACCAGAACTATTTTAATGGTTTTAAGACAGGAAGTAGGCATTACTGAGGCAGTGACTTTAAATCTCTTTCTGTAGTAAAGATGAGAACAGTTACTCTAAATGGTGATGATAACTGCAGGTGATTTGGGTGAAGAAGGAGCTTAAATGCACACTGAGAACAAGAACAGTTCTGGTAAAGTGAGCTTGAGGTTGCCATACACACCTCTGTGTCAAAGAGAAGAGACTGCAGCCACTGCAATAATCCTTCAAGATGCAGTTTTGCTACTAGAACTCTGCTGTTAAACTGTAAAGGGTTTGTTACTCTTTGCATAACATACTTTCTATTTGAGATGTCTGTGCTGCAGGAAAAACAGAAACCCCCAAATTTTATTAATAGATTTGTTTTCTTTTTATCTAGTGGCCTTGTCAAGCTGTGGAGTGCTCTAACCTTGCTGGGCTTCTACCAGAGCAGGAGGTGTGCCTTCCGGGTGCTGCAGGTAAAGCCCTGTGGGGCTGGGTGCTTCCCCAGGTGTCAGCTCTGGCTCTGAGCTTGGCAGGCTGCCCAAGCCTACTGCCTTTTCATAGAAAGATGGCCTAGATGCAGAAATGCCTTGCTTTGGGAATGAAGTGCCTTTCAGTGCAGGTGTGTGGGCCCGTGTTTGAGCAGTTCTCATCTTAAAATGAGTCTTGTACAATGTGACAGTAGTGGCTGTCTCATAACTTCATGGTTCAGCCGAGTGACAAGTCCTGATGTCATTTATACATCTGCAAGAAAATAATTTCTGGCAAGTGTTGTTCATGACCCACATCTTGGTCCAGGTCTTACTTTCCCTACTCCACTTTCTGCCTTTCTAATGGTTACTGTCAACTGACCTTGTTTAACAATGCATGATGAACATGCACTTCCAGAGCTTATTTTTTTCCAGAGGATGCTGCTTAATAAAATGAGTTCTGAGAATTCTTTGTTTCTGAAGCCATGGCTAGACAAAAGTCTGCTCAGACATAGCTCTAAGTTTTAAACCTGTCATGTGAAAGGAAAATTGAAGTATTTCCAACTTGGAGAGCATTTGATGGTGGGTTTTTTTAAGGCTTCAGTTGTTCAGTTCTTACTTGTTTTTTCTTTCCCCAAACCAGGCATCTCCATTTCTACTTGCGTTATCCGGCAACAGCAGAGAATTAGTCTTGGACTGAATGCAGTTGTTGGTTCAGCTGCACGCAGGAGAAGTTCCTGGAAATGTTGTGGCCCTTCAGGCGTGGAATTTCTGGAGGGATTTTCCAACAAGGAGCCCTGACAAAGCCAACGTTTTTCAACTCACTGCTTGGACATCCTGTATTTCAGAACTTACACATAAAAGTTGGAGACAAAGCTGAACTCAGCAAAGCTTTTACACAGAATGATGTAGTTACTTTTTCTTATTTAACAGGCGACACAAATCCTTTGCATTTAAATGAAGAGTTTGCAAAGAAATCTAGGTTTGGGAGAACTGTTGTCCATGGAGTTCTGATCAATGGACTTATTTCTGCAGTTCTGGGTACCAAAATGCCTGGTCAAGGATGTATATTTCTTTCCCAGGAGATTCGTTTTCCAGCTCCTTTGTATGTTGGTGAAGAAGTCACAGCTGCAGCAGAAGTGAAACGACTGAAGGGTTCTGTTGCACACATTTCTGTATCGTGTCAGGTCAGAGAAAGTGGGAAAACTGTTATGGAAGGGATGGTGAAAGTCATGGTGCCAGAGGGTTAGAGCTGTTCATCATGTACAACTTGGTTTGGAGTCTCTTTTTATGTGACATCACTAAAACCAGTACATTTGCAATAAAAGCCTTTCAGAATGTCTGAAAGTGCACAAACTTAACCTTACTAGAACTGCATTAAAATTAGAGCTTTTCCTTTTTATACCGTGATGGGTTTCTCTGCCAAGGTGAACCAGGCACTTGCTGTGACAAAGTGGCACGTTCAGACAAGCCTTTGTGCTGCCACAGTGGGAAGTTTGGACTGATGGGGCTCACACTGAGGCTGTTCTTTCTGGTAGAATTGCAGTCCACACCAGCAAAGTTCAGTTGAAACTTGTTCCTTCTGTACAAAGCAGCTGTATTTGCCAGCAAGCACCAGGGCAGGGGACAGTGCTGTGGTGAAAAGTGGAGCAGAAGAGGAGGTGCTGACACATGTACTGCAAGATGTGTTGTAATCTGCATGGCAGCTCCAGCTGGTGTTTCTTCTGAAACTTGCCTCCACAAAGAGAGTGAAGGAGGCTTAAAAAATACATATATATATTGTCACAACTTGTACTTACTGTATTTGTGCTCCTGAGGGCAAGACAAGCAAGGGCAGATAATTTGAGTACTAACTGTATGGCTTCTCTCTCTGAGTGTGTGAACATGGATTTCCCTTTGTCCACTGTAAGTACCTTGGTAGAGTAGACTTCTGGCAAATTCATTAGTAAATCATCTGGGTTAAATTATTTTAGTACTGGCATAAGATTGTTATACACTTAAGAACTTCTTTTAGGAAGGATTGAGGCCATCAGGAGTAGGGTCTCCAGTTGGTGGCTCATAGAACTTTCTGGCAGTGTCTATTATCCTCCCATCTTCTCTGCAGCAGAAATGCATTTGAAACTTCCTTGACTGCAAATAACCTCAGAAGTTGTCTGCTGAGAAAAGAGAGTTTCTCCTCAACCTGTGATGAAAGCTTCTGGTGAAACAGCTGCCCTGCCATAGTGCGCTGCACTCTGACCCCCGGGTTAGTCACACTGGAGCAGAGGGAGGGGTAATGTTTCAGGTGTTTGACTCCATGCCTTCTCTTTCCAAAGCTTGGAGTTTGGCCTGTTTGCAACCTGGAAGCAGTAGTTAGGAGGAGTTTTCCTTCTCTCTTGTCTGTAGGAGCTATTTCACTTTATGTTTCCTTTCCTTCTGCCTCAGGTCACTGCCTGTCACTGGCTTTTGCTGGATAAACCACTTGATCGTAGCAGGCCCCCTCCTTACCCTGCTCCCTGTTCACCTGCCTCTCCAGGTGGGAAGTTGTCTTGTTAAGGCCTATTAACAAAATGGATCAGATCTGTTCCTGACCTCCTGGCTCACTGCAGGAGTAGTTCAGAGAGTTGGGGTTGCTGTTCCAGCCTGGCTGCTGAACCACAGCCACACAGCCCATTTTCCTCTCATCATGGAGCTGCAAGACAGAGAGATTAAGCTGTCCACGACACCTGCTCCAGGCGTATGACAGACTCCAGCTCTGCAGTATTACAACATCTTAAGTGAGAGTAATTCCTGTGTATGGTGTAAAAAGAGGAAATGCAGACAGGTGCCCAACTTGTTGGTTCTCAAGCACTAAGTCCTATGCAAATAGCTTATGCTGCTGCAATCAAAGTCACATTGAGGAATTCAATTGTTAACAACTTTAAATATGTGTTTTGAAAAACAACCAAACCAGAAACCAAAACCCCACAAAAGATCAACTCCAACCCTAAATTTTAGAAATTGAGTAAAATATACAGGATATTCTGATTATTTTATTAATACAAAACACCCTGAGACGTAAAGAGCAGCAAGTGCCCTTATAATTTTCCTGCTCTCTTTGGTTGGACCAGCAGTGTCTCGGGGCTGATTCCCCCGGGGCTGCAGCTGCTATTAGTGCTGTCGGTGCTACCGGCACCGGACACGGAAGGCTTGGGTGGGGCGACTTGAGTGCGGGGCGACTCGCCTGCACTCATGATCTCCCTCCAGCCCCTTTCCCCGCTATTGCCCGCGGAGACGAACCTCGCGTTCCCCATCTCTCCGTGTTCCCTATCCCCGCCGTGTCCCCCATCTCTCCGTGTCCCCATCCCGGCCGTGTCCCCTATCCCAGCCGTGTCCTCTGTCCCCGCCGTGTCCCCATCCCCGCATTGTCCCCATCTCTCCGTGTCCCCCATCCCCGCCGTGTCCCCATACCCGCTTTGTCCCCCATCCCGCCGTGTCCCCATCCCTCCGTGTCCCCGTCCCTCCCTGTCCCGCGCTCCCGGGGCGGGACCCGCGCGGAGCGGCGGCCGCGGCGCCCCCTTGCGGCGGGCGGCGGCAGCGGCGGCGCTAAGGCCCCGCGGCGGCGGCGGCGCTGCCGTGTTGACAGCGGCGGCCGCGCCGGGAGCTGCCCCGGGAAGCGGGTTGGCGGCGCCGGTTCTCCGCTCCCAGCTCCGCTATGGCCTTCATGGAGAAGCCGCCGGCCGGCAAGGTTCTGCTGGACGACACGGTGCCGCTGACAGCGCAGATCGAGGCGAGCCAGAGCCTGCACTCGCACACGGTGAGCGGGGCAGGCCGGGCCGCGGGGGCAGGCGGGAGCGGCCGGGGCGGGGGAGGGAATGGAGGGAGCCGGTAACGGGGGGCGCCGGGGGTNGGCGGGGGCCTGAGCTGAGCCCGCGGCAGCGGGGCCGGGGTGGCGGGAGGCACTGCGGGGTGCGCTGGGGGCGAGGGGAAGCCGTGCGGGAGGCAGCGGGGCCGCGACCCCGCGGCGCGGGTTGCAGCGCCCCGGAGCCCCTCGGTGGGGTGCGGCGGTGCCGCTGCTCGTCCGGCTCCTTCGCCCCCTCTCTGTCCGCGGGGTTCCCGGGGGCAGCCGGCAGCACCCCCGGAGGGACCGCCGGGGCTCTGCGGGGGCGGCCGTGCGGGGTTCGCGCTGCTCGCGTCCTGTGGGTCACTGCAGTCCTGCTTTCCGCGGGCTGTTGCAGCCTGTGGAGCAGCGATGGGCTCTGGCTGCCGCGTTTCGGTGGCGGTGATGAAGTTACACGTGAATGGGCTGCGTTTGCCTCCGGGTCCTGCCGTGCGGCCGAGCGAACCGCAGCCCCCGCAGCCCCAGCCCCGTTTCACGGCTCTGGGGAGCCGTGGCACTCAGCAGGACAAGCCCTGCCGTCACTTGGGTGTCAGATTAATTCTTTTGGGATGCCTAGGACACATGCACAGTGCTTCCATAAGCACTGTCTTTGAGCATGCACTAATAATCCAAATTCTATAATGTCCTGTTTGCTGTTATTTTCCACTTTGAAGACCGGGTTTCATTATAGTATGACCAAGCAGTAGTGGGAATCAGAGAACTGGCTGTCATTTCTGATTCCTGCTTTAGCTGAGAGCAGGGATGCTGGAGAGGAGGCCGGAGATACCTCAGCAGCAGGTACTCTAGTGGGAAGCTTGCTTTAAATGGAGAGAGGGTTTCCTTATGTCCCTTACTCTGATTCCTGCATTGTGGATTGCTTCCTGGTTCCTTGCATCTGTTGCATTCCCTTAGCCTGAATGGCAATAACTACAGGTTCACCATGGGGTATACACTAATTTACAGACTGTCTTATTAAGTATTCTTCATGTAAATAATTCACACTAAGAAGTGGTTTATTTTTTGTCTGAGGAGCTCACATTTATTGACATTCCAGTTTTTCTCTGAACAGAAGTTACCTATGAGAAATTGTCTAGGAGGCCTTGTGAATCCAGCAGGCTGTGGCTCTCAATTGGTGCAACTCCTCTTATAAGTAAGACTAAAGAGGTTTATTTCCTGGCAAGTGGGATGCTTGTTACCTGTTTCAATAGCTGAAGGATGGGTGTGCCAAGTCCTGTGAGAAGTTGTGCAACTCCTAATACTCCCCAGCAGACCAGATTATGTTTCGTTAGTAGCTTGTTTCCTTATTATGCTTTTTTGTTAGTGCAAATGACAATAGTGTTTTGTGTTCTTTCCTTTGGTTTGCATGATTCTGGTTGGAAAAGAAAAAGTCACAAGATTCTTTTAGAATGATCCCTTGGAAGAACTTTTGCAATCCAGACTCTTCTTGTGTCATCTCGTCTGAGGGAGTGCGATAGCCCCGTCTTTCATCCCTGTATTCTGTTACTAACAGTTGTGCTAATTCTCTGCTGTTTTGTTCTGATCTTTTCTTAATAACAGAATGCTGGAGCACCATGCCTTTTGATTTAAAATCTGTCTCTAAGATACATCTATTAGCAATTGTTTGTTTTACTGCAGAAGCCCTGTTGATAGCTGAAAGATGGCTTGAAGTGTGTGTAGCACAGATGGTTTATGCAGAGCCAGTGTGGGATAACAAAATACAGGAAGCCATTAACAGACACTTGGTTTCTTATTTGATGTAAGTGGACTATTCTGTCATTTCAGATACTTCATCTTATGTCCCTGGTGTCTGAATAGCTTGTTTATTGGTGGGTGATGCTGTCCCTGACTTGAACTTTCCTGATTCAAAATAAGCCATAGGAATAAATCCTTGTTTCTGAAGAGGTGTGTAAATGATGTCCTTCTAAGAAATAAGGGTTGAAGGGTTTCTGTGGGGCTTGAAAACTGTATTTTACTTTGTTAAATTATAGTTAGAAGAAAGTAGATTGTCATTAAATGAATGCTTTTCAGTTTTGTTCTTCATTCCACCTCAAAGTGGTATCTTCAAAAGATGTAGATCTATAAAATCCTTTATCCCAAACGAATATTTGGAGAACTAGGCCTGTTCTAAAGCAAAGGCAGCCATGAAATTTTTTAAAATTCTTTTGTCAGCAGTATATATTAAGATTTTATAATGTTGTTTAGTGTTGCAAGAGTTGTTTTAAACTTGGGTTTGTATTTTTTTTTCTGTAGATCATAGCTTCTAAAAGCACTCATATGAAGATGGCTTAGGCTGAGCTTAGGTGCAACTTTAACGTGGCAACTGAACTAGTAGTTATGTAAACCTTCTGTTAGTGCTGAAAATAGCCAGTCTTCTGAAAAAACAGCTAAGGAAAAGGTGAAGAATTTCAGGAAAAGCTCTGTAGACATGGTGAAATATCACATAGAAGACCAAAGCTTGTGTCTAATGAATAGTTTGCTTGTGTATTGTTCTAAGCAGTTTCTGTTAATTTAAATTTAGTACAA